CCAAAGAAGCCCCCCAAAGGCCACATAGCGACTGGAGTGTAATATTATTTCCCCCCCTGGACGAACTGCGGCGCAGCGCCAGCCAGGTGGAAGTTGGTCACGGCGGCGCCCATGATTAGAGCCAGCGCTGGAAGGGAAGATGGGGAGGGAGTCAAAAAAGGGGGGAAGAGGCCAGAAGAAGTCCCCAAGAGGCCCAAAGAAGCTCCCAAGAGGCCTCCAGGAGGCCCCCAAGAGGCTCCCAGAAGGCCCCGCGACGTGACTGTACGTGCTCTGGACGTGCACCCCGCGAAGCGAGAGGAATCTTTAATCGCTCCAAAACGCCATTCCTGGGACTTGCACACAGCGAATCAACGTGGCTGTTGCGTGCTGACAGTCATCGTTCGTGCCAGAACACCATTCCTGAAATTTCAACACACCAAATCGTTGAGACGGTTGCGTCCTGACAATACAAAATCGCGCTGGAGCACCATTTCTGGGGCATCAGCCATACGAGTCCTTCAACATGTTGAGAACTTTCAATACGAATGCACGCGTCGCTAAGGTGAGAACCACTCCATACGTGAAACGACTGCGTACCTCTGAAACGAATGCGCGCGGCGCTAAGTCGAGAGCCACATTTTGAAAAGAAAAAGCCCTCCATCCTTGAAACTGCTGCAAATAATAAGTGAAATCTGCGCGGCGCTAAATCGATTGCCACATGTTGAAAACGGGCCGCCCTCCATCTTTCAAATGCTGAAACATTCAAGCTTCAGAATTATAAATGGTGAGAAATCTCAAACAAAACGCCCGACCCGCCCTTCCGACACGCCTGGGGGTGCGACAGGGAAGAGTTATCTATAAAGCACAAGAACGGAGAAGGAGGAGAAAGAACCAGAGGGGAGGAGGAGGAGGAGGAGGAGAAGGGAGGGGGAAACGGACGAGGGGGGGAAACGGACGCCGCAGAAGGAGGAGAAGGAGGACACACCCAAGATGCATCAACGATGCTGCAACACACCCTCCCGTCGCAGGTCCCCTCCTCGGAAGGCCCCGCCTGCATGCTGTTCCGGCGCGGGAGACGCCCCCCTGGGCAGGCGAACGCCCTGAGGGCGTTCGCCCCATTCAGGCGAGAGCCCGTTTGGTAAAGGATCCACCTCCCTTCCCTCTACCCACAGGCGTGTCAGACCTGGGGTTGCAACGTTCGACGAAATGTCCAGCGACCATTCTGTTCTCAGAAGGGGATATGCCCTCCATCCGAGTGGGCGATGCACCAGGTCGAAGATCTTGTCTCAAAGCCAGAGGATGTCTCAAGCGAGAGACCTGTCTTGCAATCACAAAGACCCACTCCACGCTTCTAGCTACAAACCATACAAAGGGTACGGCTGGAACGTTCAAGGAGATGTCTAGCAGGTGCTCCATGTTCTGCAAAGGATGTGACCTCCGTCCATGCAAGCGTTGCACGCTATCAAAGTTCTTGTCGTAAAATCTGGAAATGCCCCGAGCCAAGGTCGAGCCGACCTCCAGCTGTCTAGCGGCTGCACAATTCTAAACGTCGGGCCACCGAGTTTTTACAAGGCTCCAGCGGGAGCCCCGTTTGAAAAAGGAATAGCCTTCCATCCGTGTAAATGTTGAGTTCTCGTCAGCCGAATGCGCGGCGCCAACACGAGAGTCCCAGATTGAAGACAAACCGCCCTCCATCCGTGCACCTGGTGGAATTCAAAAATCACCTTTGCTCCATCCGTAAATCGAATGGAATTTCCAGCTTCGAGCTCGACAGGCGAAACGCCCGCCCCGCGGTAACGACACATCTGATTGCGCTGAAAGGAGCTATCGGTAAGGGTCAAGGACGAGGGGTGAAGGAAAGAGGAGGAAGACGAGAAGAACGACGCTGGATGAGGAGGAGGAGCAGCAGCAGCAGCAGCTGGATAAGCAAAGCAGAACGAGGAGGACATATGGAAGGAGGAAGGAGAGTGGGGAGGAAGGGAAGGAGGAGAGAGGAGCGAGGCCAAAGGGGCGAGGGCGAAGGGAAGGTGGGAGTAGAGGATGGTGGGGAGGGACGAGGAGGAGGAGGAGGAGGAGGAGGACCAGGACCAGTGTGAATCCAAGACTCGCCAACGATGTTGCAACGAACCCTCCCTCCAAGATCCCTCTCCATGGGCCCCTGCAACAATTTCTAGGCCTGCAATGCATACTCTGGGCCATCATATGTGTCCGTGCTTTCTGTTCTGGAATTAGTGCTTGTGCGCGAAGAAACTCGTCGATCCTACTGCGCTCGCCCTCCCTGCAGCAACCGCCCTGCGCTCCGTCTCAAGCAATATTCCAGAAGGGGGAAGATCCATGATGGAGCTGTTCGTCTGGGCATGCTTGACCATATCTGGGCTCCGGGAACCCTTGAAGGAAGAGGAAGAGAAGGAGGAGGATTCGGATTCGGATTCGGAACGACTGCAAAGCAATATAGGAGGAGGAGGAGGAGGAGGAGGAGGAGGAGGAGGAGGAGGAGGAGGAGGAGGAGGGGAGGGAGGGAGGGAGGGAGAGAGGGAGGGAGGCAGGGAGGGAGGGAGGGAGAGGGAGGGAGGGAGGAGGGAGAGACGGAGAGAGGGAGGAGAGGGAAGGAGGAGGAGGAGGAGGAGCAGGAGGAGGAGGAGGAGGAGGAAGAACAGGAAGAAAAGAAGGAGGAGGAGGAGGAGGAGAGGAGGAGGATGATGTCTGTTGGCCTCGACGCCATCACCTCTAGATTAATCGCACCAGCAGTGAGGGACCTGCTGGGGACTCTGCTCACGCGTGATCCGAGGCCTCGTTGAACTTGGACGCGATGGCCGACGGGGAACACCTCTGACAAAGAACGGAAGGACATACAGTGCAATGCAGAAGCCCATAATCGGGACAGCTGCCGTCAGCATCGCTTGTGAGCCCAATCTTGCATCCCACGCAGTGCCATCCAGCCTGCTCCGGACCAGCGCAGAAATTGCTGAAGCGGACGCGCGGACACTGGCGAGCACGGAACAGGAGGCGGCTCGACGACAGGGTGAACTCCTCCAGCATGTGCGGGACGGCGTCCCTCCTCCTCCTCCTCCTCCTCCTGCTCCTCCTCTTCCTCCTCCTCCTCCTCCTCCTCCTCCTCCTCCTCCTCCTCCTCCTCCTCCTCCTCCTGCTCTCCTCCTCCTCCTCCTACTCCGTCCTCCCCTCCTCCTCCTCCTCCTCCTCCTCCTCCTCCTCCTCCTCCTCCTCCTCCTCCTCTCCTCCTCCTCCTCCTCCTCCTCCTCCTCCTCCTCCTTCGTCCTCCTCCTCCTCCTCCTCCTCCTCCTCCTCCTCCTCCTCCTCCTCCTCCTCCTCCTCCTCCTCCTCCTCCTCCTCCTCCTCCTCCTCCTCCTCCTCCTCCGCCACGTCCTTCCTCCCCTGCGGCCGCAGGGGCGCACCACCCTCAGCATACTCCAACCCGGGGGGGCGACCCCGACCTCGGGCCTCTCGGCCAGCGCCGCCTCCGAGCCAGCAGCAGCAGCCCCCTCGCCCAGGGAGTCCTTCGGCCCGCCGCTGCTGCCGAAGCACGCCTCGACGCCTGCCACGTCGGGGTTGAACTCCGCCTATGCATCTTGGCCCGAGTCGTGGGTCTTCCGATCCACGTCCGCGGCCGCGAGCTGAGGTGCCAGGCGCGAGCACGCCAGGAACCCCTCGCGGAAGGCGCCCGCGAGGTTCTCGGCGGGCAGCTGCCACACCTCCGGCGCAAACGCCTGGAGGCGCACCACGCACGCCTCAGCATCGGCGGAACGAGGAAGCCCAAGTTCCTGAAGGAAGATGCCAACGTCCCTTGACGACTGCACCTCAGCCTGCTTCAGCGCATCCTCGGGCTCCTTTCTCTGGTCCGTCGCGCACGGGGACTCGTCGCAGGCCACGCTCCCCTCGCCGCTCGAGAACCTGGCCTTGAGCTCCGCCTCCAGCTGGGCCACTCGGCGCGCAGAGGCAGGCGAGGGCCGCCGCAGGGCTGCCGCACCAGGGGGCGGGGCATGCCTGCACCAGTTGCCCAACAGCCTGGCCCTCCACGCACCCCCAGCGTCGGCCCCAGCAAGGTCCGCAGCCCAGTCGGCGTTGGCCTGGGACGCCCCGTGGCCCTTCGAGGGCGTCCGTGAGCTCCCAGTGCGCCGCCGGGAAGCCCGGGAGGCCCGGCCGCGCGCCACAAGCGCCGCGCTCCGGGCGAGGCCGCGCTCTGCACGCTTCTGCCTCCGGAGTGCACGGGCGGAGAAGCGCGACCGGCTCGAAGGCCATGGCGCGCCCGGAAGGTGCGTGAATGCCGCTGGCCGCGCGACCGCGCGCGGAGGGTGCCCGTGAGCTGGCTCGCTTGAGCCAAAATGGCTACGGAGGAGGAGGAATAAGCACAGGAAGAAGAAGAAGAAGAAGAAGAGGAGGATCAAGGATCCAGGGTACTGGACAGTTGCAGTTCTTATTGGGCCTCCAGGGGCCTGCGTGCCAGAGGCTCCTGGAGGCTTGCAGGTACCTCCAAGGACATCCAGGAACCTCCAGAGGCCCCCAGAGACCTTCGGATACCTCTGGAGAAAAGAAAGAGGGAAGAGGGGAAGAGGGTCCGGGTTGATGGAGGGACAGACGAGGAAGGAGGGAAGAGAGGGAGCAGCGAGGGAGAGAGGAATGAGGAAAAGAGCCAAAGGAGAGAGTGGATGGGCAGGGATGGAAGGAGGGGGGCTCGCCCTCCACCTCCACCTCCACCTCCATCTGCACCTCCACCTCCTCATCCTCCTCCTCCTCCTCCTCCTCCTCATCATCATCATCATCACCACCACCACCATCACCACCACCACCACCACCATCATCATCATCATCATCAGCAGCAGCATCATCATCATCAGCAGCATCATCATCATAATCCGTGGCCATTCTGGCTCAAGGTGATGGGTTCCCAAGCGGAACAAACGGATACAAGCTAGTCCGCGGCAGCTTTCATCTTTCGGTCCGTCCGCCCTGGCCAGAGCCAAGCGCTGGTCCGCCCCAGTGCGAGGCATCCCTCACAGAATCTCATGGTGGCGTGGCAGCAGAGCAGGAAGCAGTGGGCCTGGGCTCGCTGCGCGCAGTGCAGCAACTGGGCGTACGACTGGAAGATCGTGCAGCATTCTGGGTGCTGCAGGAAGTGCGATGCCCCGATCGAGCGTGGAAGTTAATCGGGGACAGCAGGACGCCACCTTGGGCGAAAGGCAAGTCCTACGTCGAGGCAGTCTGTGGCCAGCTCGAGGTGGCAATTGCAGAGCTGGGGTGGAGGCGCAGCTGGAGCAGCTCTAGTCCAGCATCGCCGTCAAGAACGCCCCCTAAGCAGAAGGAAGTACCGAAGTCGACCGTATTGCGTCAGGCGGTCAACAAGATCAGTCGCGCCCAGGGTAAGCTCGACGGCATCGCGAAGAGGTGGAATGAGGCGCAGAAGCTCGTACAGAGGCACCAGGGGCAGATGGACCAGGCGGCGGTGGAGGCCCACGAGGTCCAGGTGGAGCACACGCCGCCCCTCCAGGACTACACGCACGAACGCGGGCAGGAAGGCGAGAACGCTGCAGAGGAGCACACCCTCGAGGTCTTAGTACGACCCCTCGCTCTTCGACGACATCGACGACCTCGGGCAGGAGCAGGAGCAGAAGCTCGCCAAGTTCCCGCGACGACGCCAGGGCCATGCAGGAGCTGTTTCGGAGATGCAGGAGATGGTGGAGGAGGCCAAGGCCCTTAGGAGGGTCGATGCTGAGAAGAGGCGCAAGGTTGGCGAGGAGGGCCAGCCCGCGCCGTCGCCGACCGAACCTGACGGCCCTCCCCCGGTCGAGGCCGCTCCGCTTGAAGAAGTGCTCAGCCCCGAGGAGCAGCGGGCGAGGAAGAACAACATCAGCAAGCGTCTCCGCGAGGCGACCGGCAAGGCCAAGTCCGCGGGCGAGGGCAGGGCAAGAACGTTGGCGGCAGCCAGCCCAAAACCCCGGCGGGTGCTGGGGCTACTGGCGCTGGTGGGCCTACTGCTGAGCGCCTTTGGCATCCCTTCCCTGGCCATCCAGGGTCAGGACTCTCGGAAGAGGCACCACACAACTATCTGTTTCACAATAACATTACTACTGGGGCGAGAAAGCCACCAACTTCATCAATGAGAACGTCGGGCAGGCGGGCGCCTTCGCCTTCACAGAAGCGCACATCGCCAGCAGCGGCATCCCGAAGCTCAAGAAGGATCGTGGCAAAGATAGATGGAAGGTAGCGGACACGTCGGCCAAGCCCACGGGCAGATCAAAGGATGGCAACAGCGGTGGTGAGCTGGTGATCGCGAAGCCTCACCTCGCCACCACCACTTACGATTGCGTGAGAGATACGATGACGAACAGTGGTGCGCGGAATCCATTTTCGAGGCTTCGCGGCCATGAATCTGCACCTCCGCTCGGGCAGTCTCATCGTCTTCAGACTCTACCTCCTCCCTGAGGAAGGCATGGGGGGGCAGCAACTTCGAGAAGGTTAAGGCGCTCTCAGTGATCATCGCGAGCATCACCGACCCGTGGAACGTCGTGGCGGACTGGAACATGACACCCGAAGCCGCGGAGAGGTCAGGGCGTGAAGCTACGTTGGGTGGAAATGTCATCCGACCCAATGTGTAGGTCACCTGCGACAAGGGCAAGGGCGGCCTTATCGACTTCGCGCTGGCGAGGCCGGACATCAAGCAGGACATCAAAATATTAGCGGAAGTGCGTGTTCCATGGAGAACACATATGGACCTCAACCTCGTCGTTCCAGGAAGAGCCCAGGCCTGGTGGCGTCGGCACCTTCGCTTGCCGAAGCCGCCCCCGCAGGTGTTCCCCCCCAGGGAGAAGCCGAACCCAGACAGCAAGAGGAGCTATCAGAAGGAGGGGAGAGCGAGGCGCATGGCGGCCCTCCCTGAGGACCTGCAAGACGAGGTTGCAGCTTCGGAGCCTATCACGACTGAAGGTACCAAGCCCGTCCTCGGGTACCACATCGACGTCGCGCAGTGGCAGAAGGCGAGCCAGAGGACAAAGCACCTTCGCCCTCGCCAGTCATGCAGGAGGTGGTGAAGACCCTCTTCACCCACGGACCACACCACGCTCTCACGGAGTCGTCTGTCTCATGTGAGTACGCGGCCTGAGCCACCGCCATAGAGGAGGCGATCATCGAGCAGGACGAGATTGACCGCCACGAGGCTGATTCGTACCGCGGCAGCGGGGGGGTCTTTGCCATCCGATGGCAACGCTCGAAGGCCACCATTGGCCGCACACACATATGGTGAAACAGCCAGCGGAGAACTGGTCCATCTTGGGGGCGTTCCTCACCAGATACGGGTCGCCGCGGACGAACAACACGAACAGACAGCAGCAGAACCAGTGCGAGCGAAACATCTCTGTTCTATACCAGGGCCTCCGCCGCATGATGCTAGGACAGATTTTTTGCAAAAAGCACGACTTCCAGGAAGCGGACGAGCGCATGCTCCAGCCCCGTACCATAGGCGCACTGGACTTACAAGAGCTTGGCAGCATCAAGAATGAGGAAGAGAACCACCTAGCCCAAAGCGGTCGCGAGGGGTCTCACTAGTCAGAGGCAGCAGTGTACGAAATGGGCCAAGTCGGTTTGGAAGAAGTCCTCAGGGGTGTTGCACAAGTATGTTGAGGAACCAGCTCCACCAGCATTTCAACAGCATCGAGAGCGCAGCGGAGCGAGCTCAGCAGATCCCGAGGTCCTCATGCACACGGCGAGGCAGAGGTGGATCAAGATCTGGACCGACGAGGTGAACTCCCGAGAGGACATCAAGGCTGAGCTGCGCCATCTGCATCGTCGAACGCCTCGGGAGGACCTTCCGCCCAGAACGCCGGAGCGACTTGGACGGCGTGGCGGCAGCGAGCAGCCCATAGCGTGGCGGGCGGGGTGGACGGCCTCGGGCTGCACGACGTGCGCAGGCTCCCAACGGAGGCGCGCCAGCAGCTGGCCAGCGCCGTCGACATTCAACAGGCGCGGCGCAAAGCGTGCCAGGGGCACAGCTAGGCGACTCGGGCACGGGCCCGACTGAAAGAAAAAGAGCCCGTGGTCCGCCACACCTGGGGCAGTGGCCCCCGAACTCTCGGGGGGCGCGAGGGTCCTCGGCGGGCTCCCCCTGCCAGTGAAGCTGCGGAGTCGTGCTCGCAGCTCCCCCTCGTGGCGAATGGAGCGGGACACTCGGCGCGCACTGGGACACAGCCCTCCGAGGGAGCCTGGCCCTCCGTGCTGGGCTGCTTCGGTCGTGCCTCGACGAGTCGGGGATGTCCCTGGGCCTGTCGAGCCTCACTTTCCCCAAGGACATACAGAAGTTCTATGATAGCGTGAGCCCTGTCATCCTCGTGAGCGCGGCGACGAGCGTTGGTTTCCCCGCGGTGATTGTCGAGATGGAGGTGATGACCTGTTCGGGGCCGGGGTACCTCAAGGACAAGGCGGCGCTGGGCGCGGCGGCCTGGGTAATTAACGCGGCCCATCGTTGCAGGCTCGCCCAGAGGCGTCCAACGTGCGAAAGAATGCTTACATTCCAATGTACAACGAGCCCATGCAGTGTCGCCGACGGCAGGGTTGTGGACGTTCGCTGACGACACGGTGGCCAGGACGGGGGGCACGGAGGAGCAGACCCCGAAGGACATGATCAACATTGCCATCTCCTTCGCGGCGAGTATCAAGCAGAGCAAGTTGAAGATATCCGAAAAGACAGTCCTCATCGGCTCCGCGAAAGAGGTGGCGACTCCACGGCGAGGACATTACGCGTGCATGGTATGCCAGTGAAGGCGGCCCATCACACCAAAGCTCTCGGATTGGACACCAGTGCGGGCAGGAAGCGAGTGGTGCGCACCCTCAGGAAACGCATCCAGATGGCCAAGAATAGATTCTCGAAGATGAAGCGGCTGCGGAGATCGGCGGCACTCCACCGTGAGGCCAAGGGCCTTTGGGCCACTGAGTCCTTACCGCAGGAGTGGTACGGGCTTCAGGCGCTCGCCCCGTCCCCCTCGCAGCTGCTTCTTCTTCGTCGTCAAGCAGGTCAGGTCGCGGCAGGTTCTCAGGGTGGGAAATGTCTCACCACTCCTCCTCCTCCTCCTCCTCCTCCTCCTCATCCTCCTTCCTCCTCCTCCTCCTCCTCCTCCTCCTCCTCCTCCTCCTCATCATCATCATCATCATCATCATCATCAGCATCATCATCAGCATCAGCATCAGCATCAGCATCAGCATCAGCATCATCATCATCATCAGCATCGTCATCGTCATCATCATCATCATCATCATCATCATCATCATCATCATCATCAGCAGCATCATCATCAGCAGCATCATCATCATCATCATCATCACATCATCATCAGCATCATCATCATCATCATCATCATCATCATCATCATCAGCATCATCATCATCATCCTGCTCATCCTCTCTCCTCCTCCTCCTCCTCCTCCTCCTCCTCCTCCTCCTCCTCCTCCTCCTCCTCCTCCTCCTCCTCCTCTCCTCCTCCTCCCTCCTCCTCCTCCTCCTCCTCCTCCTCCTCCTCCTCCTCCTCCTCCTCCTCCTCCCTCCTCCTCCTCCTCCTCCTCCTCCTCCTCCTCCTCCTCCTCCCTCCTCCTCCTCCTCCCCTTCCTCCTCCTCCTCCTCCTCCTCCTCCTCCTCCTCCTCCTCCTCCTCCTCCTCCTCCTCTCGTCCTCCTCTCCTCCTCCCCTCCTCCTCCTCCTCCTCCTCCTCCTCCTCCTCCTCCTCCCCTCCTCCTCCTCTCCCTCCTCCCTCCTCCCTGCCTCCTCCCTCCTCCCTCCTCCCTCCTCCCTCCTCCTCCTCCCTCCTCCCTCCTCCTCCTCCCTCCTCCCTCCTCTCCCTCCTCCTCCCTCCTCTCCTCCTCCTCCTCCCTCCCTCCTCCCTCCTCCCTCCTCCCTCCTCCCTCCTCCCTCCTCCCTCCTCCCTCCTCCTCCTCCCTCCTCCCTCCTCCTCCTCCCTCCTCCTCCTCCTCCTCCTCCTCTCCTCCTCCTCCTCCTCTTCCTCCTCCTCCTCCTCCTCCTCCTCCTCCTCCTCCTCCTCCTCCTCATCCTCCTCATCCTCCTCCCTCCTCCACCTCCCTCGCCATCGCGACGCGGGGCAAAGTGCCAGACAGCGATCGGGAAGCGGGCCATCACGGAGCGGCTCGCCCTCTGGCGGACGAACCCCGAGGTCCACCGGCGGGTCGGGCTCGCGCGGCCGAGGACCGAGCACCAGCTCGCGACGGCGGACACCCGCAGGTGCGCGCACGTGACGGGGCCGATCACGGGAGGAGGAGGACGAGGAGGAGGAGGAGGAGGAGGAGGAGGAGGAGGAGGAGGAGAGACCGCTGACCCCGACAGCGTGGGAGCGACCTCTTCCAGACGGCCAGCTGCAGGCCTGGCTCACCTCCTCCTCCTCCTCCCTCCTCCTCCTCCTCCTCCTCCTCCAACTTGAGGCTACACCCAGGAGACTGGGAGCGCCTCGCCATCCTCGGGGACCTGGTCAGCGTATATGCGCAGGCAGCACTGGCGATGAGCAGCAGCACACCTTGATGGCGGCGACATCCAGGAGGCAGCAGACGTATGGCGTATTCGGCAAAAGCAGAGGGGCTTTTTCACGACGAAGGAGCGGCCGGCCTGGCAGCTCTGAACATGGCGGTGGCAACGGGCGGACAGTGGACCCGCAAGAGGCGCCAGCCAGCGGGTTACCGTGTGGGTTCCCTCATCTGCCACTGCTGCAAGAAGGCCGACGAGATCCGCTTACACCGCGTCAGGGAGTGCAAGAGAACAGGGGCCATGAGGACTTCGAGAAGGCAGAGGGCCTA